GCAGTAGTGAGGTTGGCCCAGGATTGGACATTGTTTCGTTCTGCTGTGCATGGGGTCACTACGAGTCGGTTCCGACTCAATGGCACCTGACAACAACAACAACAATAGGTTTACTTTTATCCAGCACATTTTCAATAGGGTCTTAATATAGCTAGTATGCAACTGATGTTTGATGATCAGATGATGACTGTATACCATGAAGAATTCTGTATGGTGAGCTCTTCTCCAAAGAGGGGGACTGATGAAGCCCAACATGGCTACCCCCTCTGGCCAGTAAGAACCCACACTACACTTGTATGCATATGTAAGTTTTATGCATATTTGTACGTATGTATTTTGCCTTTGTTGCAAATTTATTTACGAACATGTTGGAGCATATAGGGGGAAAAGTTACGAAAACTTAGAAATAACCAAAAACTTTAAGGGAATGGAATGCTGGGCCCAGGACCATGGTCTCAGGGGACACCAAGGTCAACTGGCATAACATAGTCCACAAAGACAATATTCTACATTCTATTTGGTGAGTAGCGACTAGGGTCTTAAAAGCTCGTGAATAAGTGGTCATCTAAGGTCCAGAGAAAAAAGGAGTGAAGAAAATGGAAACTTCATAGAAACAATTAGTCCAATGGACTAATGGGCCATGCAAATATTAGTCTCCATCTAGAACTAGATGGTGCCGAACTGCCACTGTCAACTGCTCTGGAAGGGGTCACAATATAAGGTCCTGGATATAGTGGTCCAACTGTTGGACATAACTCAACATCATAAAAAAGACCAGGCTTACAAGTAGAGGCTGGTGGAATCTCTGAAATGATGACTCTGAGTCACCCTTCAGGTCTGGAAATGAACTTAACGTCATGGCTCAATTTTCAGCCAAACAACAGAAAGTCCTACAAAGGGAACAAAACAATAGGAAGGTATGCACATCTTATAAGAATCAACCATTTGAGATCAAAAGGACAGCAGCATGTGCCCACGGAAAAGGTCAGAAGGGTTAGGAAAGGAGGAGGAATGGAAACAAATAACACAGGGAGGAAGTGGGATGAGCGATGTGATCTTGCAGGGGCTGCAATCAGTAACAGCAGTGATGGCAATTGTGGAGATGAAAGTGTAGATCAAGCGTGTGCTCCTGAAATCAGGACTGGCTGTTTTAGACTGCATGCAGTCTCTGAGATGGGGACGCAATCAGTAACAGCAGTGATCACGATCGCGGAGATGAAAGTGTAGATCAAGCATGTGCTCCTGAAATCAGGACTGGCTGTTTTAGACTGCATGCAGTCTCTGAAATGGGGACGCCATGACCAACGAGTCATGCTTGACTCTCATCACATAGCCACTCTTATCACGTGGTTGTTCAATTCTCCTCCCAGGAGACAACTACAGTTAAGAGTTGCTTATTTATTCTCTGAGATATTTTATGCATATGCAAGCACATACATAATACGATGGGGCTTCAAAAATTTCATGGAATTAAAAGATAATGAATTTTTTCATGAATGTTCAGAAGACCCCTTGTATCTATAAGCACATGTGTGCCTTTGCACATGTACCATATGCATATTTGCTTCCCAATCCTTTTTCAGCCATGATGGCATAATTCACATGCTATGTTGCACATGGCTTTGTTCAAGCTAGATAATTCTGTATCAGCATATACACTCTTTTCCTTTCTTGCACCTCGAGTCAGTCCCTTATTCACAGGCACTAGGTTGCTGCCAATTATATTGCTGTTATAAACAATGCTGGAATGAATAACCTTGAGTTGCAAGATTTCCTAAATTCTGCAGGATAACTACATACATGTAAAAGGCCAAGCTCTTCCCCCTATTCTACGCTGCTAAGAAACAGCCAGACCTATGAGGATTAATATTAAATCCTTTTATTTAAAAAGTTTTATCTACATACTCAAGATATGCCTTTCATTTTAATTAAAAAATTATACATGGTGTTTGTGAATACACTCAAAGACCAAAATAGTCTGGGAGGTGGTTTTATGCTGAGTAAATGACTTCAAAACCAGTGGTGTAAATGCTGTGCTTGCTCTCTAGTCGCCTTTAGAAGGTGTCTGCTCCCGAGGAGTCTGTGTCGCCCTGAACTGTGCTGATGCTCAGAGATTGAGCGCAGTCCTCCAAGTTCACCAGGGGCAGCGCTACGGACATCTTGGCAGGTAGTTCCTGCGAACTGAACATGGGTATTGCTTTATCACCTGCAAAAAGAAGAACCGCAAATCAGCCTAACAAGCACAAGTCAGGAGTGTTTTTATTTTATGGTGGGGAAAATATACATAACAAAACATAAACCATCAGGCAGAGAAGATGACATGGAGAGATGGAGTGGCTGGGGACTCTGGACTCAGGGTGGGAGAGGGGCTGTGTGCTGACAACCGGGGTGGTGGGGGCAGGCTTGTGGGGTGTACCCTTTGGTTGTTTGATGATGCATGGAGGGGACTGTAATCATTGCAATGAAACAAAATATGATAGGATGAATGTAAAGCTGGTGTTCTCCCATGATGTAAACTAACTCAAAATTCACAATAAAAACTTAAATAAAAAACATAGGCCATCTCAACAATTTCTGTATGTACAATTCCACAGCATTGACCACATTCTTCAAGTTGGGTAACCATTCTATCCTTTCCCAAATCATTCTCCCATCATTAACATAACCCTGGGTGTGGCGCTGTGGGCTAAAGCGCCAGACTACAAAGCCATTTGAACTGCAAGGTCGGTGGTTCAAGCTCACCATCTGCTCCTTGGAACCCTATACAGGGTTGCTATGGGTTAGAATCGACTCGACGGCACTTCCCCCCTAAGCAAACATTCCCTTTCCTCTCACTCTTGGTAACTTCTAATAATCTTCTATTTCTATAGCTCTTTGTATTTCATGTAAGTAGAATCATTCCCTATACAGTATTTGTCCTTTGGTGCCTGACTGATTTCATTCGGCATGATGTTTTCAAGGTTCATTCATGTTGCAGCATCATCAGGCCTTCCATCTCTGTATGACTGAGCAGTACTCCACTGTGTGCACATAACACATTTTGTTTATCCATTTTGGTTGTTTCTACTTTTGGGCTATGGTGAGAAGTGCTGTGGTGAATGCTGGCACACAGGGTTCTGTTTGTGTTTCTGCCCTCACTTCTGGGTAGATCCCTAGGGCTGGGATATCTTCTGGATAGATCCCTCAGACTTGGATTTCTGGGTTACACAGTACTTCCATGTTCACATTCTTGAGGAACTACCACACTGGTTTCTACAGCGGCTGTACCATTTTACATCTCACCAGTAATAGCTAAGGGTTCCAGGTTCTAACCAAGCTTGCCAGCATCTGGAGTTTTCTAATTGTTGGTCACTGCCATTCCATTAGAGGTAAGGTGGTATCTCATTATAGTTTCGATCTGCATCTCCCTTCATTGTTAAGGAAACCCAACAGATGGTGCCCCTGAGTGGTACAAATGGTTAAAACTCAACCATGAACTGTAAGGTTGGAAGTTCAAGTCCACTCAGAGAAGCCTCAAAAGACAAGCCTGGCAATCAGCTTCTCAAAGATCACAGTCACTGAAATTCCTCTGGAGTGCAGTTCTCCTCTAAAACACATGGGGGCTCCATGAGTTGGAATTGACTCGACAGCAGCTAACACCAATGACTAAATAAAACTGAGCATTTTTTTCATGTGCTCATTTCCTATTTGAATATCCTCTTCCGTGAAAAATCTGTTCAAGTGCTCTGCCCATTTTTTGATGGGGTCATTTATTTCTTTGTTGTTAAAGTTGTAGTTTTATGCAGGTATACCTCAGAGATAATGCAGGTTCAGCCCCAGATGACCACAATAAAGCGAACATCGCAATAAAGTGAGTTACACAAAATTTTTGGCTTCGCAATGTATATAAAAGTTCTCTTTACACCATACAAGTGCTATAGCATCATGAAAAGGTTTGCATTATTGTGACAGTTATTGAAATGTGACATGAAATCAGTACATGCTGTTAGCAAAATGGTGCCAACAGACTTGTTGGGAGTGGGGTTGCCACAAACCTTCAATTTATTTAAAAAAAAAAAAAAAACAGCATTTGTGAAGCATAATGAAGCTAAGCGAAATAAGATGAGGTACACCTGAATATGTTTTGAATATTAGGTCTTTATTAGATATACTTGAGCATGGTGGCTCTTTAGGATAAGCACGAGACTGCCAACTACAAGGTGGTTTGAGTCTACCAGCCACTCCTCAGGAGAAAGATGCTGTCTTTACCTGCAAATATGTACAGCTTAGAAACCCTACACAGGGTCACTAGGAGTCAGAACTGCCTAGACAGCAGTTAGCAACAATGCCAACAACACTGGATAGTGTCATTCTTTGCAGGAGCAGACAGCCTCATCTTTCTCCTGCAGAGTGGCAAGTGGACTCGAACTGCCAGCCCTGTAGTTAGCAGCCCAGTGCTTATCTTCAGAGCCACAGGACTCCCTTACTGGATGTATGGTTCCCCCTATTTTTCTCCTAATCTGTACGTTGTCTCTTACTTTGATGAACAAGAGTTCATTTTTATGAAGTCCCATTGATCTTCTTTGTCTTTTGCTGTTTCATGCTTTTGTTGTCATACCTGATAATGCATCTCTAAAAACTAGGGTTGCTAGGAATCGGAAGTGACTCTACGGCGCTTAATAACAACATGATGATTACTTATGGCTGTAAAACTTTCTAAATAGTACAAGGGGATCAAAACAAGAATCAAAGTAATTCCTTTTCTCTAAGCGTTCAGAGTTTGTCATAGCAAGAAAACGTCTGCCTTTCCATTCCCACCCTACTCAAGTCAAGACATTAAAAAGTACATGAGTGCCCAAAGTTGTGGAACAAACAGAAACTAGGTAAGGTTAGTAGGAGGGTCAAATCCAGACTTAAGTCTTTTCCTGACTGTGAGTGACTCTGAGCACATGATCTCACCCCTCAGAACTTCAGTTTTCTCCTCTGTTAAATGGGATCATAGACCCTACTGCACAATGCAGTAAGGATGAAATACCATCTGTAAAGGGTTGACTAGAGGTTAGCACTTAGGAAGTTACTCAAAAACTGAGTTACTATTACCACTGAATACGTGACACTGAACACTCTTCCCATAAATTAAGTGGCTAGAAGTCCAATAAAAAAAACAAAACACTGCAATAGTCCTAAAATAAAGGTTTGCTGTTAGTTATAGACAGAACATGAGTTTTAAAAGGGGGTAGATATGAGCTAAGTAAAAAGCTTTTGAAGTCAATGGTTGCCAATACACACGACATTTAGCTTTTTCCTCCTACTCCTAAAACATGTATCCTCAACTCAGCATAAATTATTAAAAATCATTGACTGAGTAATTAATAACAATGAAAGCAATGTCAAAAGAAAAAAAAACTGAAGAGGGCAATTCAAATTACCATTGACATTTGACTTAGGTAAGCATATTTCTCTTTTAAATAACTTGTTCTTCATTATTGCTTCATTTAACCAAATATGCAAAGCTATTTCTACTCCATCGAGTGAAAGCAGAGGGAGGCAATAGAGAAGGGAGCTGGTGACAGAAGGAAGGCAGTTTAAAATGAAGAAGTCATAACTATGTTAAAATTCCAGAGCTGACTACATATGTGTATCTAGCTGCCTAGATCTTAATTCACTATAAATTTAAAGCAAACTGCCTAAAAGCATAAAGAATGTGAACTTGGTATTAACTAAAACCACACAAATTCTTATTTTAAATTTTATGACCTTATCATCTATACAAAAGAATAATAAGCACTTTAAACAAATTACTTTCAATAAACTTAAAGACACCTCTGAGGCAAAAGTCATAGTAATATTTTTCTAAAACCCCTTTATATTTTCCTATTAGTTTCCACAATAATGAAGTGGAATTTTTCATTAAATTTTTGTAGGATCAACAGTAAAAGAAAGTTCTGGACATTTCAGTGACAACTCAACCACAGCTGTCCAACTGATCAGAATACTAGTAAACAGCATATTCCTTTCTTGTTAGGAAGATAAGTAGGGAGACACAGGGATAAGTTATATGCTTGATGAATATGAATGTCTGCAAAACATGAAGATGAACTTTTCCAACAGGCAAGTGAAGTTAAAGGTTGCAAAGACCAGAAGGCAATTTAAAGACACAGAATTAACACTTCTGTGCATCCAAACCCAAACCCACTGCTTCCCTGTCAATTCGGACTCACAGTGACTCTAGTGGGCACAGCAGAACTCCTCCCTGAGATCGCCTAAGCTGTGAAGTTTACGGAGGAGGCAGACTGGCGCAGCTGGCTCCCAGGCTTTCAGTTCAAACCGCCCATCTTCAGCTAGCAGCCCAGCGCTTAGCTCACATAGATGTATTACGTTGTTGTTGTTAAGTGCCATCAAGTCAGTTTCGACCCTGTATAAGGTTTCCAAGGAACAGCTGGTGAGCTGGAACTGCCGACCCTGCAGTTCAAATGGCTTTGCAGGCTGACGTATTAACACACAGCGCCACACCAAGAGTAGAGATTAGAGCAAGAAGAGTAGTGATCACCCAGGGAGAGGAAATAGATTAAAAAGAGAGATAGAAGCAATGTGGGGGCAGGACCAAGAAAGAAAACTGATTAAAGGGCAAATGAAGGCAAACAAGAGGGAGGTGTTGGAGAGATAAGCAGGAGGGAACCTGGGAGAGTGAAGAGCCATACAAGGTACAAGATGGTTTTTAAAAACTAAAGTCTAGTGTAACTCATCAATTAATCCATAATTGGTACAGCTGAGACTATAACTCACTGCTCTTTGCACTATACAGAATACCTTAATTAATCACAGTAATAAATAATTACTGTTAATCACTTATGTTTGTAAAAGTTGACTGAGGGAAATCTCATTTAATTAGTGGTATGTAACGGTAGGCAGAAGGAGCTCTGGTAGCGTAGTGGTTACGAATCGGGCAGCGAACCTCAGGGTCAGCAGTTCAAAACTACCAGCTCTTCTGCGGGAGAAAGATGAGGCTTTCTGCTCCCGTAACGATTTACAGCCTCGGAAACCCTGTATAGGGTCACTATGAGTCGGAACTGACTCCACGGCACATAACAACAACAATGGTAGGCAGGAATTCTGGTGTGGTACCGAGGGGGTAAATGCGCAAGGTTGGCGGTTCTAGCTCATCAACCAGCCACTCCTCGGAAACCCTATACAGGGTTGCTATGAGTTGGAACAGAGTCAACGGCATTAAAAAACAACGGTAGGCAGCTAAGAGGGAGGTGATGAGTTTTCAAACACAAGATCCTTTATGCTAAGTCAAGTCTAGGGTCCAAATGAGATCTGTGTCCAGTCACGTAGAATGGTTTTCCTCACATAGTGGTGCCAGGCTTCTGTGTGGGGAGTGACAAAGGGAGGAGGATTGGGATAGATACCCAAAAAACATCAAGTGAGTATGTACTATGTGCCAAGCACACTACTTTTCTAGATTCTGGAAGATAATACAATGAACAAAACAAAGGCCCTCTCAGGGCCTTACATTCTAGTTGGAGTTGGGGTTGGGTGGTGGGGGCAGATGACAAACAAGTAAGGAAATAATCATAAAATATGTCAGGAGGTGATAAGTACCATAAAGAAAAATAGGTAAGGGGTAAGAGGGGCAGTGATATGTGGCTTTGGGCAACTTTTTTCACTTCTCTAAACCCCAGCTACCTTATCTCTAAAACAGAGCTCACAGTATCTGCCCCAGTGGTTTTGTGGGGATTAAATGAGATAATGGATATAAAATACTTTGTCTAGTACTGGCACATACAAAACACTCAGAGCAAGTTAGCTCTTACTCGTACATAACTGGAGAGGAACTATCCCAAGAGGCACTGATATTCAGGGCAGGCTGCAAAAGACAGCGTGACTTAGAAAGGGATCAGAACGATTCATGAAATACAATAACGATAACAAAAAAAGCCGCTCTGGAAGGCCTCCAAATAGTTAAGCTATTTTTAACTCTAACGGTTGTGTTTTAATCAATGAGTTATGTCAGTAAATTGTACCATCTTATCTAAAGGTGTTTTGCTAATGTACATTTTGGGAAGACTTCTTGAAGTGTTCTTTTACACAAGCAAAACAGCCTGTTTCAGAACTTTGCAAGAGAATGTTTTAGGCTAGGATTGAGGTAAAAAAGAACATCACTCTTAAGTACTGTTAACAGGCAAACAGGACAACACTCAGACCCAGTTATGGTCCTCATAGAGTTTAATTTTTTTTTTTTTTTTCCCTAAACAAAAGGCATATCTCAATAAATCACCATTAAAGCAAGCATAAATCTTCTACCAAATTAAATGTAGTTTGATGCTTTTAAAGTTTGACTTTTATATTTCCACAGTCATGGCCTTACTCTATGATGTCATTGTTTCAACAGCTGTGTTCAAGTTAAAAAAAAAAAGACCATTTCTTGATTCCATGGGTTTGAAGCATGATGTCACTTAACCTAGAACACATCTGCAGTTTGGAGGTCCATAAAGTTACACCGTGCATCTAAATCTTCATAAGACATATTTTAATATACTTTGACATTTGAAATTGAAATTTTGTGTCTTTTTAAGAGTTAAAATTCATGAAGAAATTTTATTTTCTGTTCTTGATATTAGACTTATGAGATGAAGAAATACAAACATTAAAACTACTTTATTCTCAGTAATGTAGGTAATGATATAGGATTTCTACCATCCATTTAAGAGGCTGCTTTAAAACATACATAGCGTAGCTTTCTAAAAGCTTTATGGTTTTAGATAATCCATTTCATCAGCAGGTTTTAGATTCTGACTCTAATCTCAAATACTTGGTAACCCATTATTATATGTTATTTGCAAACTAAGAGGAATCCAAACAAGGCATTGTCTCCTAAAACAACATGAGACAAGCAGAGAAATTATGAAAAAGTTTCCTTGGTAGATCCACAAAGGCGGGCAGCGTCCCCAACTCCTCATTCTGACTAAACAAATGCATGTAACACCAGCCATTATATGGATTCTAGTGGTTAGTCTGTAAGATAATAAATAGGAAGTGGGGCAACTTTTACTTGCCTGCATTTATGTTTTTCTACCTGTGAAAAAAATCTATTACTAAAATAAATTGTGCATTTAAAAGCACAATTTTTAAAGGATCAAATCTAATAACCTTCATTAAGTTACATGAATGATCCTCACCTGGAGTATACGGGGAGGCACCAGAGATCGGTGAATACACTGAACCTTATGCAAATTGTTTTTATGTATTTGTAATTTGGGAGGGAGACAGGCAATCATAACTATCAGTGTCTTAAAAGGCTTTGTGGCCCCCAAATATTTAAGAATCAATGAGTCCAGAGTCATCTGCAAGCTGAATTCCCTGAATTCAGGTCGCTATGGGTCGGGATCAACTCTATGGCATTCAACAACTGCAGCAGCAGGAGTGAAGAAACGCGAGTTCTTCTCATGTACGAGAGGACTTCAAAAAGGTTGTGGGAACATTCCCTTATCTTTGAATTCCATTTTTCCACAAACTTTTTTATAAATTGTGGTGCGGGCACCTTATTTTCTGAAAGGTGCACTGTAATTATCTGTTTGTCTCTTCTACTGGGCAATCTACTTCCTAGGAGCATGGATTAGGATTTACAGTCTTTGTCTTCCCAGTGACTAGGGCAGCAGGAACATAGGAAGTACCTGTGACCAACGGTGTGTTTCTGTTAAACCAGGGGCCAGGAAAAGGAGTTCCACTTGGGAGTTTGTCATTAGATCATTAGCAAGTAGAAGACGTATACATTGGCTTCATCAGCACAATACTAATAAACTAGGTCAATTGGTTCAGAATCAGCCCTACAACTTCATACCTACAGGTTTTCATATTATTACCGTATTAAACAAAATGTATGCAGCATTGATAACTAGGCTGCCATTATGAACACACAATGGCTAAAAACTAATCTGACAGAGACTCTTTCTCACCAAACAGAACACACCCATTAGGCAACATCACATAATGATCACTGTTGTAATGTTTTAGGCTCCGCTCAAATGCTGCTTAACTCAGGCCTTTCTGTTAATAACCTTCACTGACAAAATTAATGTCTTTCTCATACATGTCTCAGACTTTTTAGACATCCACATTTCTAGCAGCACTGATCATTTTATTATTAAGCAATTATCATTTTATTGCTTACTTGTGGGTATATTGTTCCCGTGAAATATGTGCTCTGCTAAGACAGCCCCTCCCAAAACAAACCCATTGCTGCTGACTCGATTCTGTCACTAATGAGTCAACAGTGCAGAACACAGCTGCCTCCTAGGGCTTTCAAGGCTATAATCTTTATGGAAGCCAACTGCCACATTTTTCTCCCGTGGAGCAGAGCAGCTGGTGGGTTCAAACCTCCGACCTTTGGGTCACAGCAGCTAAGCACGCAACTACAGAGCCACCAGAGCGCCTGCTGAGAAGGCACTTGTGTCCTAGTCACCTCTGAATCCAACAAAGCTGGAGCATAATTCTGGGAACAGAGGTAGGCAAAGGAATTCATGCTGAACCAAACTGGTTTGTCTCTACCTAGAGTGTCTGCAGTTCTTCAAGGCTAACACTTGCTTAGATTCACGCTGACCAGGTCCTGACTAAAATCAGCCCTGGGCTCCAGCAATGCAGTTGTGTTTTATTGAGTTCTTGAAGCGTTGTTCCTGTCCACCACCCTGGGCTCATCCAGTCTTGCATCAATTCCTTGTGTAAGCAGCTGCTAAACTATCCCGCTGTAGTTAATTCTCCTCATATACTTAACTGCAGATTTTGCAACATCACAGCTTTAGTGCTTGAGAACAAATACTACAAGTCTTGATGAACAAGGTGCCTGGCTATATGACACTAAGAATTATATGTAATATTTTGACTCTGCTTTCAAGAATTACTCATCATTAACTCTTTCTTCACTTTCATGTTTAAATGGTGATTTAAAACGTTAAAATAGTTTCACCCCAAACTACGTTTTAGACATATAAACAATACATTAAAAATTTACTATTACTATTTTTAAAGAGTTGACAAAAGTTTGTTTCCAAATTTATAATTTAAGATACAAATGAGACAGTTCCGATAGAAGAATAAATGTACCAGCACCTGTAAAAACAACTCCGATTCTTTTTCCCTTAAAAAGCAATAGTTAATGTGAAAGATTTGTTTCTTCTTATGCCAGATTCTAGCTGCTTCACTTTATTTAAAACTGACTTCAAAGTTTAAACACTGTCCTGTCCCAACAAATAACCTCCCCCAGATGGAAATATCTGGAACACTATCCTCAGTGCTCTGAATGCCACACCTGCAGCCTTTTTATAATTCTACATTTTATAAACTTTCCAAAGGGAAATGATAAAAATTTTAATGGCTTTTGAAGACTTCAATTTAAAGTGGGTTGTATAGCTGGGGTAAATTTATAGGTACTTTACAAAATGAAAATCAGAGTTAGTCTCTTTACTATGTTGATTATTATGAGAGAAAGAAATGACAAGAAAATGAAAAAAATCTGATCAGCGCCAAGTTCAATAACTTTTAAAGTAAAAAAATGTACCTGTAAACACAGATGCAAGGTATAGATTTGGCTCAATTTGTGTCTGATCTGTTATCACTTGGTGAAGCCACATTAAATTTTTTTTTTTCCACAAGAAAATCAGTTTAGAACAGAAATAAATCAAGATTCATTCTTATTCACCAAAGACAAAACCAAACCAAACCACGAGCTAAAGGTATTTCCACAGTTACTCCATTAAAGCAAGGTAAACAGAAGCATGAACTAGTGGTCTTAAGATAAAGAAGGAAGTTAAACAGCTGAATTTCAATGACGGTCCATAGAAAAAATAGTTTACCTAGTCATTTAGGAGCTCTGGTAGCGTAGTGGTTACGAATCGGGCTGTGTACCGCAAGGTCAGCAGTTCGAAACTACCAGTGGTTCCGCGGGAGAAAGATGAAGCGTTCTGCTCCCGTAAAGATTTACAGCCTCGGAAACCCTGTGCAGGGTCACTATGAGTCGGAACCAACTCCACGGCACATAACAACAACAGTCGGTTATTACCTTTATGCATCAGCCATGAGGGGAAGGGGGAAGGGAAGGATCATGAGAGAATGCCATTTGTACTAACTTAAAAAATTCGGACCGTTTTCTTCCAAGGTTGAAAGTTTTCAGATTCTTTCACTTAAGAATTTAATCATTACAAAAACATTTGGACCAGCCTGTGTGCATACTGCCCTACAGAATCTAGACAACAAGCAATGAAGTTGTCACGGAGTGGAGCCCCAATACACTACTAAACCCAAAGCAGGTTTTAACATTGAAGTGAAATGTTGTTGCTGATTGTTGTTAGATGACATTGAGTCGATTTCCACTCATAGTGACGCTGCTGCACAACACAACAATACACTGCCCGCTCTGCGCCATCCTCACCGTTGTGTTGCTGCTACTATGTCAATCCATGTTGCTGTGGGGTGGGGGTGGGGAGGTGGGAACCTTCCTCTTTGTTGCTGACCCTTCTCTTTACCAAGCATGATGGAAAACCTTTTTATGGTTAGAGAATTATGAGAATTATGAAGCAGAAAAAATTTAAGTTACCAAAGAGAGAAACCTGTAGCACGTATAGCTCTGGCCCACAATCTGGCCAACAAGCTACTCTAGGTGCCAAGGATAGTTGTCTTTGTTGATGGCATGCTGACAGATATATTACAGTGCTCTGGAAATCAGGAACTGACAATAGTTGTGGTTTTAAACCAATTCTTGGAGTAGATGGTATGGAAAAAATTATAATATGATGTAACATCAGTGTTTCTTTTAGGTTTTTCTCTAAAATAAAAAAATTACCTCTCAAACTTGATTTATTAAAAAAAATTCCAGTGAGTTTTGGAAGAAAAGCTTAAACTATTTAAATAAAATTATATAGCATTACATGGGAGCTTGGTGTCTCTATAAGATAAGCACTGGGCTGCGAATAACATCTGCAGTTGGAGCCCATCAGCCACTCTGCAAGAGAAAGATGAGGCTTTCTGCTCCTGCAAAGATTTAAGCCTCGGAAACCTTACAGGGGTCCACTAAGAGTTAGAACCAACTCCCCAGCACTTAACAACATCAATAACAGATAGCACGACATAGCATTATATAGCATTACATAGCTTATTCAACTGCAATATAGTTTCAGTGGTGACAAATAGTAATGCTAAAGTATTCTTGTTGTAGAAAAGTAAAATTGTAAATAAAGCATGTCAAAAATGAAATGCAAGACAGATGAGTACAATTAAGTTTAAAGAACAGTTTTAAAAGAAAATATATTTATAAGGGTAGGATTATGGATAAATACAAGTTATTCATATGTTTGATATTCTATATATATGTCAAAATTGAACATTTGACCTTGACATATTTTAAAACATCTTGAAATGCTTTAAAGTTTCGGTGAAGGGCTAGTTGCTGAATCAATTCTAACTCACGGTGGCCCCATGTGGGGCAGAATGTTTTAAGTCTCCCACAGGGTCTTCAAAGCTTTGGTAGCCTGACCTGTTTCCCAAAGTGCTTCTGGGTGGATTCCAACCCCCAACCTTTTGACTGACAGTCCAGTGCTTAACTGTTTACATCATTGCAGGGCCTCTGTTTTACAAGTGCTTACTATGATGCTGTGGTAATTAAGGTTATGTGGCCACCTGGTTGGGCCAGGATTCTCAGTGATTTGGCAGGCAGAGATGCCGTTTGGAGTTTTTGGCAGGCCCCTATTTGTGATTCACAGTGCAGACCTGCCATCCTCTGCAGAGCACTACTCTTCTCATGAGAAACAGCTTATGGCTTGTTCACTGGGCCTTAGTAGAAACCGAACACCTAGCCATGGGCCACCAAGTCACTTAAGAAACCTGAGTTACCCATTATGAACTGACCCAGAGTGCTGCCTGACCCAGAGTTGTAAGGTTGGGTGCACACAGCAGCATTCAATCATTAAATGTAAGTGGTACATTTAATGAGACTGGGCTTCAGCAGAACATGAAGGCACAAGTAAACCATATGAGGCAGTGGCCCAAATGCCCATGGTCTCTACTCCTGGCACATTACCTTGCCTCTCCCAGTTTACACTTATGGCCTCATGGGGAGTTTCTTAGGAGCTGTTGACTGAGGAAGAGAAAACACGCGCTTGGTTGTGGATGGTTCTGCAGGATACGCAGGCACAACTAAAAGGGGATAGCATTCACACTATAGAAGCATGTTGTTGTTGTTGAGTGCCATCGAGTCGGGTCCGACCCATAGCGACCCTGTACAGGGTTTCCGAGGGTGTAAATCTTTACGGGAGTAGAAAGCCTCATCTTTCTCCCGCGGAGTGGCTGGTAGTTTCGAACCGCTGACCTTAAGGTTCGCAGTCGAGGGAAATCCTTCCAATGAGCAGAACCTCAAGCAGTGCACCTGGTGTTCATTTTGTCTGGAAGGAGAAATGGCCAGATGTGCAGTTGTATGCTGATTCATAGGTTGCGGCCAATGGTTTGGCTGGATGGTCAGGGACTTGAAAGGTACGTGATTTAAAAAATGGTGACAAGGAGGTGTGTGGGAGAGGTATGGGAATAGACCTCTCTGAATGGGTCAAAAAAGTATAACTTTTTTGTGTCAACTTTACTAGGCCGGGATTCCCAATGGGTTAGCAGTTGAGATGCGGCTATTCCCACAGTGATGAAACCTAATACGGGCTTAGTTATCACTATGAAGTGTGGCTATGGGCAGCCAATCAATTGAAAGGATCCTTCCTTGGGGGGGTGTGCTGCTCCCAATATAATGGACACATGGGAAAAGCTTTCTCTCTTCCACTGGGGACCCTGGACTCTATAATTGTAAGCCATTTCCTTGAAAATAAACTTGTCTCTATATATACATGTGTATTTCACTGATTTTGCTTTTTCAGAAAACCCGACTTAACACAAAAAGTACAGATACTTGTGTCTCATGTGACTGTTCATCAAAGGGTTACCTTGGCAGAGGAGGATTTTAACAGTTAAGTGGACAGGATGACATGTGAAAACAAATTATCCTTTTTCTCCAGTCACTCCTGTCATTGCTCAGTGGGCTCATGAACAAAGTGGCCGTGGTGGCAGGGATGGAGGTTATGCATGGGCTAAGCAGCATGGACCTGCACTCACCAAGGCTGATTTAATTACAGCCACTGCTAAGTGTCCAGTCAGCCAGCAGCTGAAACCAACACTGAGTCCCAGCTGTGGGACCAGTCCCTGGGGAGACAAGCCAGCAACCTGGTGTCAGGTTGATTACATTGGACCACTTCCACCATGGAAAGGGCAGCATTTTATTCTTACTGAACTAGACACTTCTCTGGGTATGGATTTACCTTCCCTGCATGCAATGCTTCTGCCAAAACTACCATCCCTAGACTTCTAATACCTTATCAACAGTCATTGTATTCCACACATTGTCGTCACCTTAGATCAAGGGACTCACTTCACAGCAAATGAAGTATAGCCACAGGACCCTGCTCTTAAAAGTTACTAGTCTTACCATGTCCCTCAGCATTCTGAAGCAACCGGCTTGACTGAATACTGTAATGGCTTTTGAAAGACACAGTTATGGCCCCAGCTAGATGCCAATAACTTGCAGGGTTGGGGCAATGTTCTCCAGGAGGTGGTATATGCTCCAAACCAGCATTCAACAGATGGTACTGCTTCTCCAATAACCAGGATTCATGGGTCCAAGAACCAAGGGGTAGAAATCGAAATGGCACCACTCACTATTGCTGCTAGTGACCTACTTGCAAAAATTTTACTTCCTGTCTCTGTGATGCTATACTCTTCAGGTCTGGATGTTTTAGTTCCAAGGGGAGGCATACTTTGAGCTGGATACACAGTGCTGATTTCACTGAACTGGAAGAACACTTGCTGGCCATTTTGATCAAGGAGCTCTGGTAGTGTAGTGGTTACGAATTGGGCTGCGAACCACAAGGTCAGCAGTTCGAAACTACCAGCTGCTCTGTGGGAGAAAGATGAGGCGTTCTGCTCCCATAAAGATTTAGAGCCTTGGAAACCCTGTACAGGGTCGCTATGAGTCAGAACCAACTCCACAGCACACAGCCACCATGCCTTTTGATCAATGAGCAACGAAGAGAGTTAATGTATTGGGTGATGTGGTTGATTCTGATTACCAAAAAAAAATCAGATTACTATTATATAATATAGGCAAATGAAAATATATGTGGAAAATCCAGGAGATTCCTTAGGATGTTAGTATTACTATGCCCTGTGATTAAAGTCAAAGGTAAACTATGGCAACCCTATTTGACCATGACTACAAATGGCCCAGACCCTTCAGGAATGAAGGTTTGGTTCACCCCACCAGGCAAAGAACCACAACCAGCTGAGGTGCTTGGCGAGGGCAAAGGGACTATAGAATGGGTAGTGGAAGAAAGTAGTTCTAAATACCAACTATGGCCACATGATGAGTTGTAGAAATGAGGACTGTAATTGTTATGAGTATTTTTTTCTTATATTTATGCATAAAATATTTCTGCTTTGTTCATTTGTGTTAGTTGTAGCAACTTAGGAACAAGTATAACTTTGTAATTGTCTTTATTTAGTGATTACGTATGCAGCTTAAGA